CAATCCTCCATCTGAGGGTCCTGGAGTGTTTTCTAGGTGTTAGCTGGAAGCTGGGCATTCGCTCTTTTATGCAACTGGGGAAACTGAGGCACAGATAGTGGTGATCACAGCACTGCCCCAGGAGCACCCTGGTCCACCCTCCAGCTCCCAGCAGTGATGGGTGCATATCTCCTTGCTCAGGACGGTCTTACCACCCCCCAAGGATGCACCCAGCCTCCACATCAGCATCTCCTGGCCACGCTCCTGTGCCAGATGGGCACCCGAATATCACCCTTGCTCCCTGCAGCACCCAAAACCCCAAACACATGCAAACCACCACATTGAAAGAGAAGGTGCAGCAACCCTGCTCGGTTTTGCCCAAACCAAGACAGTTGATGGTCAGGACCCCCCAGGATTGTATTTTTCTTGTTATAGTTTCACCCCGGTGTTTGTACAAAACGTCTGGGCACCGGCTCTGCTCTGAGGTTTGTTTAGAAGATGCTGCCAAGGGTAATGCTGCTCCCAGCACCGTTGCATGAGGACCATGTCCCTGCAAAAATTGAGTCCATCCTGGGAAGCTATTCCTGTTCCCCTCCTTATCCCGGGCACCCAGACAGCAGCAACCCCCTAATTATTGCTCCTATAGGGGTTATGTGTCCCATAAACCAAAGCAAACTCTATAGCAAGCCCTGGATGGGTTTGCTGGAGCTTCGAGCCCTTCTCCGCTTGCAGAAAGGGGGATGTGAGGGGTTTCCTGATGGATTAGGTGAGGAGAAAAAGATGGGAATCATCCCCATTTGTGAATGGATGCCCCTCTGTGGGGATGCTCCCAGTAAAGCCTCCAGCAAGTCGTGGTTCAGTCATCTCCCAGCAAGCAGTGCAGAATAACCTGTTATCCATAAATCAAGGAGTATTAATATCAGTGATATTTCCAAAAATCTTCCTATAAAATGTGACCATCATGTTTGGTTTAGCTGAGTAGAAACTTCAAGCACTGGCAGGATTTTTTTGCCAACCTGTAAGTGGCGGAAGAGAAAACTTGTGTCTAAATTTTGCCTTGCTTCTGTAATTCTGCTCTTTTCTAAAAACAAAGTCTGGGAACGTGGCTTCTGCTTTCACTTTCTTCAGGGGTACACTGTGATTTTCTAAGAAGCAGAACTGAAAGGGAGAAGCAATGACATGTGAGTTGCTCCACACAGAAAGCTTCATTGACGATGCCGGACATGAAACAGATTTTTTTTCCCAAAATAAATGTCTGGTTTGGTCACCTTTACAATGGAAGGAACAGGACACTGTGGCTTAAATACTTGCAGCAGTGGCTGGGTGTGATGGACCCACTTGCAGGCAAAGGAGAAGCAACCCAAGTGTTGAGCAGGTCCCTGCTTGTTTCTGGGAAGCAAACAGTCCATGCTCTGGGTTTTAATTCCTGGAAGGTTTTGCTCCCTATGGGGACCTCATGCCTGGGTGTTATTTTGGTTGCTCAAGAGTCCTCAAGGTCCCTACAGCATCCTCACAGCCCTTGGCAAAGGGATGGACAACCTGAGTCAACAGCATTGCATTTAATGATGATAACAAGCTAAAAGAGCCGTGAAAGACTTTAAATTCGCATTACAGAAAGGCACAGACTAATTGCACAGACTAAAAGTTGCACATCCATCCAGCTGAGAGGTTTGAACCATGGCTTGGAAGTCCCAAGTGAACTCACATGCAAAATCCCTTATTGCTTGCTGCAGGACCAGCAGAACCGATCACGGGGTTCCTGGAGAAGCACCAAGAAGTTGCACCAAGTAGTTTTTAATGCAAAGTATTAAATTTTCAGCACACAAAATTTCTGGGCTCCTGGTGACTCACACCCAGCTGGGTGGGAAATTTGCCTGTCTCACCCTCGTGCTGCCTCAACCCATCCACAAGACCCAAGTGTTGGGTAGTCACCAGGCCGGTGACAACCTCTGCTCCTTCAGCAGCACATGGTGGCAAACTGGGACACTTGTGTTTGATCCCAGTTTACAGTGACAGATCATGATCATGGTTGACTCGTATCTGAGATGCTGCTTTTCAACCTTAAAATAGCTATTTTCACCCTACAGATGTCCCCAGGTGTGGGATGCTGGTACCCTAGAAGGAGGCATCTCCATCAACATCTCCACCCTTCCTCCCTGGTTGTAATTGGGGGGCAATCGTTTCCCAAAGAAAACTCTCCAGCTGGAGAACTGTCTCTGGTCCAACAGCCAAAACAAACAAGCTATCGAGGAAACAGCAATGAGTCAAGGGAAGTTATTTTAAATCTTTCCCGGATGGGAAATACCAAAGGTACCTGCAGGTCTACTGTGTTTTGACCTCCTTATTCTTTCCTGTGTACGCGGTCCGGAAAGCAGAGGAGCCTGGAGGTGGTGAGCCAAAGGGACTCTCCTCCATCACCCCCTGGGCAGCTGGCAGAATGGCCAGATCCTGCAGGTCCCCAGGGGGATCTGAGCCTGCTTTTGGACACCCTTTTATTATCACTTGTTACCTGGACCCATCCCTGGGGCTGCTGGCAGAGCCCAGTTCTCCCAGCACAGTGATGGTGGAGCTCCATGCTGGGTTGAACCTCTGCTCCATGCCACGGTCTCCCAATATGGGGGATGGGAATGATGGGTGTTTATGAAGAGATGTGTTGGTGAGAAGATTGAGAAGGCCATCACTGTGCTGAACTTCAGGAACTCAGGGCTCTCCCAGGATGGGAAGAGCCACAGAGGGGTGAACACCCAAAGGGCTGGGTGATCTGCTGGCATGGGAAGGAAGGGAAGGAGCTAAAGGAGGGATTGTGACTAACCTTGAGGCATTTGATTGCCACTCAACCATGCAAATCTCAGAGATGTCCCCATCCCAGTACCCAGCTCTGTTCTCGAAGGGAGAAAGTGCCAATATTTGTGAAGATGAGGCAGTGAGAGCCAATGAGCTCCCTCTTTGCAGAGCATCCTAGCAGTGGAGGTGGAGAACACCTCTCAAAGGTGGTTCCAAAATGTGAAGGCCCACCTCAGAAAGCTCCATCACGAGACTCCCTCATGCCCTAAGCCCTGGGATTTCCTGCCTGCAAAGACCCACAGATGTGAATCACAAAAATCTCCCTTTCCAAGGTGCTTCACCATCAGACAGATAAGGTCTCCTGTGCCCAGGCCACCTCCCAGACACCCACCACTTTCCTTCTGCTGAAGTTGTGGATGAAACAGGAGCCTAAGACACCACCCATGCCTAGATCTTCATGCTCCGCATGGATTTTTGAGGATTCCTGAGAAAAACAATAAGCAGAAGCAACCTTGAGTCCCTGAGGCACATCAGGGCGTGCCGGCGAGGGGAAAGGAAGCCTGGGAAAATCAACGCATTAATCATCTACCCCTTCCTCCCCTGCTGATGTCCGCAGGGCTCTAGGAAAGCAGGTTGGAGAGGAAAATGAGCTGAAACATATTTCTCGAGAAACTCTGAGGCATATGAACAGCAGGTCAGCTCCCACTTGGAGCAAAGCCAAGGCTTTTTTGCTTGAATTCCCATCAAAGCCAAAATTTCCCGGTGCTCCAATGGAGCCCTGGCAGAATGAATGTGTTGTGCTCGTAGGCTGCCGCTGGGACTTTGTCACCCCCAGAAGGAAATTGGGGCTGGATGGCCAGAAACGTGAGCCTGGGACCCATTATGGCAATGGAGGCTGACCAGTTTCTCCAATGCAGAAGTCCAACAGCGAGAAGACTTGTCTTATTCTGTTGGGCCTTTCACCCCATGTAGCTGCACTGCTTTGACTGTGGTGAACGTTAATTGCAGCAAAAGGATGGAAGGCACCGTCAGAGCAGACCACAGGGAATAAAACATTCTCCACCAATCATCCTCTCTGCCAAAAATCTGGGGACTCAAAGGCAGGTGCTGGGGCAGCAGATGGCCTGGGGTGACCATCACCTTTGAGCTGGTTAAAAAAGAGAAAGTTGCCATCAAGTGTCACCTCCTCATGATCAAGCTCAACCAGGTCCACCACCCTGGCAGGCTGGTGTTGTCAGAAGGACACGAGAAATTAACTCCATTTCCGTTATAAATAGCTTTTAGATGTAATTAAATTTTTCATGCAAGACGTCTCCGGTCTGGGGAGCTGCGGTGGAGCCAGAGGCAGAAGGGACCTAGCCTGCATCCCTGGTCCATCTGTGTTGAGGGAGAACCTGAAAGCCCTGTGGAACCCGCCCCATGGGGACATCCAGCATCTGGTGGTGGGGCACCCCTGCCCTGAGGCTTTTGCAAAACCTCAGCCTTTGAAAAATGCTGCTTTTTGCCCCCAACAAGAGTTTCACGTCGGTTGGTGGAGCATGGTCGCAGCTCCTGGCTGCCTCCTTGGCCTCGGCCACAGATGCTCCTCTCTCCATCCACACCATCCCATGACTCGCTGGTGGCTGGAAACCTGGAGCCCGGAGGGAAAGTGCAATTACCCTGGGCAGCAGCGGCAAAAGTCGCCTGCAATCAGCTGCTAATGCGATTACTGGCAACATCCAGCCGGAGGAATAGAAACCAGGCGGTCAAAGAGTCTCATGAGGCCAAATCCAGCCACCGTGCCAGGCCTTTTTGCCAAGGATTAATTCAATCGGTGAGACTCCAAGAGGAACCCAGGCTGCTCCTTTTCCCCCGTTATTTTTCCCAACGAGCTTCGTCTGCCTTTTGCATGGATAAAAAGAGGAGTAAAAACAATGCCTTGCTTGACATTTCTTTTATAGCTTCGCCGCTGCCTCCAAATTTGCCTCTTCCATCCCTGCTCAACCCCCAAAATATCAGTTTGGGGGGGGTTCCTGTTTATTCCAGGTGCTGTAGGGCTGGGCTTGAGGCTACAGGTCCAGCTACCTGGCTCAGTGGAGGCGGTTGGGGCTGGCAGGCAGCCAGGAGCCGCTATTTTATTTTCTTTTTTTAACGCTCCCTCCACTATTTACAGTGTCCCCACAGCAGGACGGGTGGCTACGAGGTGTTCACCTTGGGGACCTGCAAGGACACCCGCCGTGCCAGGAGGGAGAAGAACACCATCTCTTTTTCACCAGTTTGAAGCTTTCCCTGAAGACAGAGGCAGCACTGGAGGTGGGATAAGCGCTCTCGCTGGTGGCTCATTGGCGGAGTGAGTTGTGTCCGTTCTCAGCTGGCATTCCTCAGATGCTTGCGGAAATCCCTGGGCTCCCCTTTGCAAGCTGCTGGGCTTGTTTGCACAAGGCGTGTTTTCTACTCTACTCTGAGGAAATACACTTTCTACCCTGCTCCCCAGTTTCCATCTCCCTGTGGCAGCTGAGGGAGCGGGGAATTTCACAAGGGCACGGAGCCATCACCAACCCAACCCCACAAGCCCCGGCAGCCCCAGGATAAGGGTGATGGCTCCAGCCTGGCTGTGGTTGCAAATATTTACGGCTGCTCGTGCCAGAGCCCATCTCCCCCGTGGCCCTGCTACCCAGGCTTGGCCACGGGCTCGCGCCAGGATCGATGTCAACCCGCGTCGTCCGCTGTAACACAGGCGGATCCGCCTGGGCTGCAGCACCTCATTCCACCTCCCTGTCCCTCATGGTGCCGCCGAGCCCCTGCCCAAAGCTCCTCACCTCATAGTTGGGTGCTGACCCTGAGGGTCCGTTGCTCGACAATCTTCATTTTTCCATTCTTCCATTCTTTCAGCTCCATCTTCCCAGCGTGTCTTTGCCCTCCACTTCTACCAAGACTCATCCCAAGCCCCTGGAATGGAAGGAGGGGGATCATTTTGGAGGGAAAGGAAGGGCCAAACCTGTCATCCCGTGTAATCCCGGCATCCCTGGGCTGTTTATGCCCTTCCGGACCCAGCGAGTCCCCCCGGGGTTCCTTTCCTTCTTGCTCTTTAATAGCTCTGCTCAGGAAGCGCCGAGGCTTGACCGCCTGGTTAATAAGTACCGAAGCCACCGACCCCTTCGGTTGTCACCCGGTGCCGGGGGGAGACCCCGTCCCCACCACCCAGGACGTCACCCTATAAATCCCACTTTTGGGGGATGTTGGAAACCCCCCCCTCCGCGCCCACTCCTCCCCCCGCCCCCCCCCCCCCCCCCCAACACCTTCAGTACAGCTGTTTGCTCAGGATGCCAAGCCAGATGTTTGCCTGGCAGCCCCCTCACCCCAGCCCAGATGTTCCCCCGCTGTGACCCTTCCCCAGCCTCCTCCGGCCCCCCCCCCCCCCCCCCCCCCCCCCCCGCAGGTGCCGGGGCGGAGCGGGGCGGAGCGGGGCCGGCGGCCGGGAGGGGGCTGTGGGGGGGGAACCCCGGGAGCTGATCGGAGCTGCTGCCCCGGCGCATCCCGCTGCCGGTAAGTGCCACGTACGAGAGGGACGGGACCAACGGAACAGGGGCAGGATTGGACCCGAGAGGGTCAGGGGGAACCGAGCAGGATGGGGCTGGACTGGACGGGATGGGACTCGCGTGGATCAGAGTGTTCCGGGCAGGATGGGACCCGAATGGGTCAGAATGAGCCGGGACAGGATGGGACCCGCGTGGGTCAGAGTGATCCGGGCAGGATGGGACCTGCGTGGGTCAGACTGAATCGGGGCAGGATGGGACCTAGAAGGGTCAGACCAAAGTGGGCAGACTCCAGAACGTTCAGACCAAACTGGGCAGAATGGGACCCGAGTGGGTCAGAATGAACCGGGGCAGAATGGGACCCGAGTGGGTCAGAATGTACCGGGGCAGAATGGGACCTGAGTGGGTCAGATCAAACTGGACAGGATGGGATCTCAGTGGATCAGACCAAAATTGGCAGGATAGGACCTGAGTGGGTCAGAGTGAATCGGGGCAGGATGGGACCTAGAAGGGTCAGACAGGACTAGGCAGAATGAGACCTAAGTGGGTCAGACCAAACTGGGCAAAATGGGACCCGAGTGGGTCAAACCAAACAGGACAGGATAGGACCCAGAAGGGTCAGACAGGACTGGGCAGGATGGGGCCAGAGCAGACAGGATCGAGACTGCATGTGTCAGACAAACCTGGGCCAGGATGGGACCCGAGTGGGGCAGACAAAACTGGGCAGAATGGGACCCGAGCGGATCAAACCAAACTGGGCAGGATGAGGCAGAACTGGAGAAGATGGGGGCAGCTCCAGAGAGCAGCAGTGCTCCAGTTGGGCTCTGGAGCGATCCCAAATCCACCACCCCCCATGGTAGCTGCTGGACTTGGCTTTTAGGGAGGTTTAGCAGCTTTTAGCACAGAACAGGGCTTCAAATCACACCGTGATCCCCGGGACAGGGCTGGTGTGGAGCTCAGTGGGGTGGCTTTGCCCCAGACGCTCTGCTCCCAGGGCCTGGGGTGCTCCGGGATGCACCAGCATCTCCTGCGGCATCCATAGGGACCAGCCTGGTGCCAGAGGTGGTGTCGCACGCCGAGTGTCCTCAAAACCACTTGAGAGACTTGGTCTTCCCTGGCATCTCCACTGCAGGTGCCAGGAGCCTGGCCTCTGCCTTTTTATATATATCTATATGTATTTGTAAATATGGACATACAGAGGTATAAATATATTTGTATATATGAGTATGTGTGCGTAGATGTGTGTATAGAAGCATAAACATTTGTGTGTACATATGGATAGAGTTATGTATATACATGTGTGTGAGTCCATGTGCTCGGAGACATATATTTGTGTATATAGGTAGAGAAGTTTGTATATATGTGTATGTGAATGTATATTTCTGTATGTACGGAGAGAAATGTATGTGTGTATATGTGTGTGTGTATGTGTATACATGTGTGTGTAGAACCCTATATATGTTTGTATATATATGTATAGAGGTGTATGTATAGAAGTAGAGAGGTACATGTGTATACGTATGTATAGAGGAATATTTACATATAGAGGTATAGATATATAGAGAGGTATATTTATATAGAGAGGTATAAATATGTATAGAAGTATATTTATATCAGAGGTATATATGCTTGTATATATATGTTTATGCATAGGTATGTACATGTGAGTGAACATGTGGCTGTATATGTGCCTATACGTTTGTGTGTGTATATGTACAGGTTTACAGAAGCCCAGCCAGAGCCTCAGCCCTGCCAGCTGAGACCAGGCCAACTCATTGCACCTTCTCTGACCCCAGCATCTCCTGTTTCCAGCAGGGAAATTTCCAGCATCTCCTATTTCCAGCAGGGAAACGCTGCCTAGGTTGCTCAGAGCATCCCTGAGATGTTGATTTACTTTAGAGCTGGGCAACCAAAGCGTGGGGAGGTGAGGGGAGTCACCCGAGGACAGTGTACGTCGGTGGCAGAACCACCCAGCGTCACTGGTGGGGCCATCCCCACGCCCAAAAAGCACCCAAAACCACCGCTCTGGCCCGATTTGGCCACATCATTACCCCTTTGGGCTTCGATAAACTGAAATTTCCCTTAAAACACCCAAGCCTTGGTCCCCACCCGCCCCAGGGTGGGTGGGACACATCCATGGGCACCTGAAGATATTTCGGGACCAGCCAGGAGCTGTTTGGGGACAGGGACGTTGTGGCTTTGGCCAAGCAACTCGTGGGGCAGGAGCATTTCCCCTCCCTTTTTATCCTCTTTGAAATCTGCTGAGCTGGAGCTTTCACTTCTGTCACCACCATCCCAGCCCAGTGGCCACCAAGATGTCCCCTCCGTGATGTCCCCCCAAGGCAGGACAAACCAAGGAGGAAGGTTTCCAAGGGATGAAGCCATCCCCCATATCCTATTTGAGGGTGGCAGCAGCCAAAATATTTTCCTGCTGTAACAAGTTTGTCTAAACCCTCTTCATTTTAAGATCAGGTGTTAATTACAGCTAATTTCACGGCGAAAAACTTGCATGAGATGGTTGGAAAGCTCTTAACCCCATTCCTCCTTCTCAGGCACCTTAAAGCCCTGTGATAAGGGTGACCCCATCCTACAGAGCACCCCAATTCCATGGACACCCCTTTTTTTTCTCCCTGCAAATCTTATTTCTCCTGGTGCCCACCACCATGGGATCACCTGGGATTGGGAGGGATTTTTCCTCCTCTCCTCCAGCTTTTCTGTCTCTCACAGCCTGGCAGCAGTGAGGTTCGATGCCCCATTTCCCTCTTGCAAAGAGGGTTTTTTGCTTATTTGTTATTGGGTTTTTTTGGGAGAGAGGTTGGTCCCTTATTTTTTGGCTGATTGTTGTATTTTTTGGCTCAGCCCTGGTTGCGGATGTCCTCCACTACTGATGGCCTAAGTGGCCTTGGGCATGTCCCTTAGCAACCCTCCTCAGACACCCATCCAAGGGATGTTTTGGGGAGAAAAACTGTTAAAACAGGGCATAAGCCATGGTGGTTTACTTCAATTCCAGTCCCTGTGCCTCAGTTTCCCTTTTGTGGCTGTGGCAAGAGGCGACTGGAGCCTCTTCTTCCTCTTGGTGTCACCATGCCAGGTGACCTCCCTATCCCCAGCATCTGCCCCAGATGCCCATCCTTGAAAGGAGCCAAAAATGGGAAAAAAGCCCCCCAAATGGTGGAAAAGACACAAAACTGGGGGGAAAGGCACAAAAAATCATGGATCTGGTGACATGACTGATGGCCTCAGCCGGCCACATCCCGGCATCCCCAAGCCAGCTCTGGGATGCATCCCCTGCCCCAGTGGCATTTGCCAGCTCTGGATGTCCCTTGATGTCTGGGTATGGCTCATTTTGGGGTGTGATATGGGCTCACGGGGTGGGGTGTGTGTCTGTGCACATGTGTAGAGCGTGTCCATAGAGGCATGCAGAATGTGTGTGCGTGCATGCAGGGAGGTAGGGGATGGGGATGTATGTACGTGGCGGGGAGAGGTGAGGGGGGCACTGGTGCAAGCAGCTCAGTGCCATCCCATACATGTGCTGTGGCACGCGGTGTCCACCCTGTCACCCCAGTTTCTGTTCCCCATCGCCACTGAGTGGAAATGGGAAGCGTTGCTCAAGGAGGAGAGTGCAGCACCCCGGGGCAGCAGATTTGCCCCAGGGCTGGGCAGAACGGCAGGTCCCAGCACCCTGTGGCACCCCCCTGGCACCTCAGCAGGTAGGACATGCTCCCAGGTCCCCCAGGACCCCTCTTGCTGGCCACCTTGTCTCCCGTGTCACAGCAGTGTTCCTGCGAGCACATGTGGGAAGGCAGCACCCATCCAGACCCCACCCTGGACACCCACGGGTGGTTTGGGAGGGGTCCCGGGAGGAGATGGCAGCTCACAGCCCTGGGGCACTTACTGGCTTGGAGGTGGAACTGGGGTTACAGTGGGGCTCAGCGGGATGTCAGAAGGACTCAGGGGGGTGCAGGGGGGGCTCAGTGGCGTGCAGGGATGGGGGGCCTTAATGAGATGCAGAGGGCTCAGCAGGGTGCAGGGGGACACAGTGGGGTGCCAGAAGGGATATGTGACAGCATGGAGAGCAGGAGCAGACTGATTTACAAGCCTGGAGCACCCCTAAAAACAGGGGAGCCATGCGTGTGCCCCCAACATTCTCCCCAAGTCTGTCCCCATGGCTGGGCTGTGCTCTGGGGCTGGTGAAACCCCCAAAGACCCAAAAAGGAGTCACCATGGTGGTACGAGCTAACAGGATGGCCCCTGGACTTGTGTGCTCCCCCTGGTCCCCTTTGTCCCATGCACCTCCCTCCCTGCCTCAGTTTCCCTTCCCAACTGGCATGGGGACACTGGCCACCCCATTTCCAGGCAATTTTGTCCCCGCCGGGCACCGAGGCTGTCGCCGGGGCGGTTGGGGGGAAGCGGTGCTGGCCCCCCACCAGGGTTGCAGAGAGGTCTGCAGGCGACAGAGGAAGCGAGAGGAGGAAGGAGAAGCGGCTCTGCCCCTGCCTCCGAGCTGCTGCAACCTGGGAGCACGGAGCACCCATGGGTGGCACGGTGAAGGATTCAGCCCAGTGACATGGCTGGGGTCAGGGCTCTGTGGGACCATGTCTTTTGTGCTAGTCTCAGCCTCTAAGAAAGAAGAGATGGCCTCTTCCCCGGCTCAGTGCAACCCAGAGGCCACGTGCGTGGGCTCCCTTAGCCCACAAAACCGAAAACCTCCAGGACCAGACTGTCACCAGTCCCGATTCTCAAATGAAAGTAACCACGGAACATCTGTGGGTTGTGCTGGGCTCCGTGCAGGTGGCATCTCCTGAAACTCAGGGGACGAAGCCCGCTCGGGTGACTGGCTGTAGGGTTCTGGCACCCCCTGCAGAGAAGCAGGAAGCCGTGCCGGCGGCTAACAGCTCAAAGTGCCACAATTTCCTTTCCCACACTGGGATGAGGGTGGTTTTGCCTTGTGTAAACCTTTCTACAGGGTCTAAGTGTTAGGGGAAGCAGAGCTGAGATGGTGGTGATCATGGCCCACACTGTCCAGTGTGCCACCACCCTGCACGGTCCCACTCTCTCCATCTTCCTGATGGAACCCTAAACCCATCAGCGTGGTTTGGAATCACAGAACCACTGAATGGCTTGGGTTGGAAAGAACCTTTCAAGGTCATCCAGTGCCACCCCCTGCCATGGGTAGGGACCCCTTCCCCCAGCCCAGGGGGCTCCCAGCCCCGTCCAACCTGGCCTTGAACCCTTCCAGGGAGGGGGCAGCCACAGCTGCTCTGGGCACCCTGGGCCAGCACCTCACCCCCCGCACAGGGAACAATTTCTGCCTTAGATCTCACCTAAATCTGCCCTCGGTCAGTTTAAAACCGTCACCCCTCGTCCTACCCCCACCCCCTGATCCAGAGTCCCTCCCCACCTTTCTTGTCCCCCCTTTAAGCCCTGGGAGGCCGCTCGAAGGTCTCCCCGGAGCCTTCTCTTCTCCAGGCTGAACCCCCCCAACTCTCTCAGCCCGGCCTCCCAGGGGAGCTGCTCCAGCCCCCCCAGCATCTTCGTGGCCTCCTCTGGCCCCGCTCGAGCAGCTCCGTGTCCTTCTGCTGTTGGGGGTCCCCGAGCTGGCCCCAGCACTGCAGGGGGGTCTCCCCCGAGCGGAGCAGAGGGGGAGAATCCCCTCCCTGGCCCTGCTGCCCCCCCTGCTCTGGCTGCAGCCCAGGGCACGGGTGGGTTCTGGGCTGTGAGCACATGGTGCTGGCTCACAGGCAGTTTTCCCCCCACCAACCCCCCCAAGTCCCTCTCCGCAGTGCTGCCCTCCATCCCTTCATCCCCCAGCCTGTATGGATCCTGGGGGTTGCCCTCACACACACCAGTCCAGGTTCACTCTGTTAGGGTGGGTGTGACACCACATGGCCAAATCACCAACCGTCCCCTTTGTCATTCACAGGTGCTGCTGAGGGGCCACACCAGCAGAGAGGAAATCAACCGGGGGACCACCACCATGGCCAACTTGACAACCCTCATGGGCGCTGGGAGGAACTCCTGCACCTTCCATGAAGAGTTCAAGCAGGTCCTGCTGCCCTTGGTCTACTCGGTGGTGTTCACGGTGGGGTTGCCCTTGAACGCTGTGGTCATCGGGCAGATCTGGGTGGCCCGTAAGGCACTCAGCCGCACCATGATCTATATGCTGAACTTGGCCATGGCTGACCTGCTCTACGTCTGCTCCCTCCCGCTCCTCATCTACAACTACACCCAGAAGGATTATTGGCCTTTTGGGGACTTCACCTGCAAATTCATCCGCTTCCAGTTCTACACCAACCTACATGGCAGCATCCTCTTCCTCACCTGTATCAGCGTCCAGCGGTACCTGGGCATCTGCCACCCCTTGGCCTCATGGCACAAGAAGAAGGGGAAGAAGCTGACGTGGTTGGTGTGCGCTGCGGTGTGGTTCATTGTCATTGCCCAGTGCCTGCCCACCTTCATCTTCGCTTCCACCGGCACCCAGAGGAACCGGACCGTCTGCTACGACCTGAGCCCACCGGATCGCTCCACTGCCTACTTCCCATACGGCATCACCCTCACCGTCACAGGGTTCCTGCTGCCCTTCTTGGCAATCCTCGCCTGCTACTGCAGCATGGCCCGGATCCTGTGCCAGAAGGACGAGCTGATTGGCTTGGCGGTGCACAAGAGGAAGGACAAAGCCGTGCGCATGATCATCATTGTGGTCATCGTCTTCTCCATCAGTTTCTTCCCCTTCCACCTCACCAAGACCATCTACCTGATCGTCCGTTCCTCGCCCAGCCTGCCCTGCCTGGATCTACAGGCATTTGCCATCGCCTACAAGTGCACGCGTCCCTTTGCCAGCATGAACAGTGTCCTCGACCCCATCCTCTTCTACTTCACCCAACGCAAGTTTCGTGAGAGTACCCGCTACCTCCTTGACAAGATGAGCTCCAAGTGGCGGCATGACCACTGCATTACCTACGGCTCCTAGGTGAGGACGAGGGCCACCTCAGTGTCACCTCCAGGCATGGAGCAATTTTGGATTTAAGCTCCATGGAGCAGAGATAGCTTCATCTGGGGACATGCTGGAGGACAGAGGGATGGCATCTCCCAAGCTTTCATCACTTCCATCCCATCTCCAGCCTGCAGTGGCGCAGTATTAACCCCATGATGGCACAGATCCAGTGTCCTCTCTCTGGCTTGATTGCTCAGGTTGAGCAGCTTAACATCATGTTTCCTCAGTGTCCAAGCCACCGATACAAAAAAAGAAAAACCACTAGTGGGACAATGGAGAACACAATGGGACCATGAAGGACACAGTCCCTGGCTCAGAGTGAGCTACTGGGGGGCAATTTTTTCCCCTTCTCATTTAAAGATTCCCTGATGGGGCCATGCAAAATCTGGGGAGGATTTAGTTGACCTCATACCTGTCTGGGAAACACAGGACTGTGTGTTCTTCCAGCTCAAAATAAGTGTCACTGACCTTTTTTTGAGCAATACGAGGACATCCCTATCCCCCAGTTTCCAGAATGAGGTCACATGGGTTAAAGACATGGGCCCACTGGTACCACTGGTGCTGCAAAATGGTGGGAGAGAATCCCTGTCCAGACTGAGAACTGGGAAGGGGAACATAAGAACAACTGCGACACCCATGCTGATTTTCCCACCCAAGCAATGACCATGGGCTGGCTTAGACACAAGCCAACAGTGCTGTCACCTGCCTGGGGACCTTCAGCATCATTGGGGTCCAGCTCCTTGCTTAGCCCAACACCCTAAATCCGGCCCATCCTGGCATCCTTGGCACCCTGCTGTCACTTCTTAACCAGGATCCACCAAAATGAGAGCTGGCCCACCGGGACACAATGCCCAGAGTCAGGAAACCCATGCCACTGAGCTACTCGGTGTCCTCGGCCATGTCACCGCACGTCCCACCACCAGCTTGGCCTCTCCACAGCCCCCACACTGGGCTGGGGCTTGAGCTTTGCTCCCTGTGGTCTCCATTGGGATGCTGCTCCCTCCCAGCAAGGAGGGATTTGCTTACACAGCGCGGGGTGAACATACCACTAATCGCTCTGTGAGTTTTCTTTAATATATAAGATGTATAGAATAAACCTCCCCTCCTTTTTCTGATGGATATGTACATGTATCTACACCCACTATATAGACATACATCTAATACATCCAAGCAGGTAAAGGTCTGTAGCCCAGAACAGGCTACACAGTGCAGATATTCTCCGCCCTGAATACACTAGATGTATCTATACAGTGTATGTATGTGTATATAATATACATACATATATATATATGGGTAACTATTTTGCTGTGTTTCTCGCTGGTCATGTCTAAGTTGATTTAAGCAATTTGCTTCAAAACTCCAGGGATGAGCATCCCTCTGTCTTGGCTGCTCGCACCCAGCCAAGCGCACGACTTCATCCCGACTTGCTCCCTGCATCTTCCTCAGGTACCTGCCAGCATCCAGGGTTGGTGGTTGCCGTGTGGCTCTTCGCTGTTGTGAGGATGAGGAGGGTGCCCAGGGTGGTCATCAGCCCTTGGATGATGCTCAAAGATCTCAGGATCGTGGTGGGCTGGAATGGAGAGGGATCCTGCGACGGCGTTAGCTGAAACCGCCTGGTTCTGCGGGAGCACTGGCCATGTCCTGGTGGGAAGGACCATGCATCGTGACAATGACTTTGGGTTGGGGCACAGAATGAGATGGAGGAGGCAAAGCCAGCCCAGAACTTTCCCTTGGCCAGAGCTTATCTATGCCAAAATCTCCTCCAATATATTTTTGGGGTCCTGCACAAAATGCTGGAGGGCTGTAGGAGCGGCAGCCGGTGGGATAATCCCAGCCTGGTTTTCCCAAGCCTTCCCAGACAAAAGGAAGGTGACAGGGTGGGAGATGAAGGGCCACGCCATCCGGACCCAGGAGAGGGCGCAAAATATTTAGATTTGGAGAAATCCAGCTGGGTCTGTGGGTGCCCACCGCGCTCCGGGGAGGGATGGAGAAGCTCTGCTCTGTCATAACACCCTGTGCCTGGATAGCACCCATGGGACGAGGTGGCCAGCCAAAACTTAACCACAATAAAGCTTTGAGGGGAAAAAAATTAAGCAGCTCTCCAAAGGTGGCTCAATGTGGGCTCAGGTGGTGATATCCAGCAACTCCAGGACACCCCAAAGAGATCCCTGATGGTGGAATCACCAATTTTGGATGTTTTTAAGGATAGGAAGCACATGGAGCTCACTTTGGGTCTGACCATGTCCTGCCTGGCCTTTGGGTCCTGTCAGCAGTTCCCTTGGTACTAGCAGGCCCAGAAGCCAGGGTGATGGGCACAACACAGCACCTTAGAGATGGGATGGGTGCTTCAAAACATCTCCTTCGCTCACAAGATGCTCAACACCAGCAGCCTGAGGACCGGTTCTTACAGCACCGAGGGGGGATGAAACACCTTGCTCTTCCCCAAATCCCATCCTGAATGTCAGGTGACTGCGGGGACATCTTGGGGACATCATCCTCACAGCCAGGAGACACCCAGCCCTGGGGGAACCAGCAGCGGAGGGTGAAGGGAGGGAAGGGAGAGCTGGGGAAGGAATACCTGCCAGGGCGGTGCATCTCCCAGCATCGCCGGAGGCGCTTTTTAGGTCCTGAAAAATGCATTTACAGGGGGTAGGGGGTGTGGAGGGGGAGTGTGGGATTTTTTTTAATCACCACCAATTTTTTTTGAGCCCCTGGGACAGAGCCAGCAATGTCCTTTACGTGGCCAGGACACCTCTCCAGCCCCATGCACACTGCCAAGGCCCCAGCTCACCCATCAACCATCCCAGCCACCTTCATTTTTCACATCCCCAGTGAGAAATCTGCTGTCTTGGGGTAAAAGGGGTTATGGGCTGCAAATAGCAAGCGCTGACAGGCAATGCTAAAAAACCACGAGAAAGTCTGTTCGCAGGACAGTGTGTCGCCAGATCTCTTTGCAAGCTGGGAACAAGGTGTTTTGCCTTCCCTGAGATGAATTGAAAAGTAGGGGCTGGAGAAATCCATAGAAAAAGGAAGGATCTCTCGGTGGCACCCAAATTTTTGCTTATTTACCCTGTTATCTTCTTTAAAAAAAAAAATAGCTGGAAGGAGATGGAGGGAAGGGGATGAAGGATGGGGGGGGAGATGAAGGATGCAGAGGGGGGTGAAGGATGAGGGGGGCTGAAGGATGTGTGGGGGAGATGATGGATGCAAGGGGTGAAGGATGTGAGGGTGTGGGTGAAGGATGTGGGGATGTCGGGGGGGATGAAGGCTGTAGGAGGGTGAAGAATGCAGGGGGCGGTGAAGGATGCAGGGTTGGGGGTGTGAAGGATGTGGGTTTGGGGGGGGTGAAGGATGAGTAGGGGTGAAGAATGCAGGGGGGCGTGTGAAGGATGCGGGAATGTGGCGGAGAGGTGAAATATGAGGGGGGGTGAAGGATGCAGGGGGGTGAAGGATGCAGGGGGGTGAAGGATGAGGGGGGTGAAGGATGCAGGGGGAGTGAAAGATGCAGGGGGGCTGTGAAGGATGTGGGGATGTGGTGAGGGGGTGAAAGATGAGGGAGGATGAAGAATGGGGGGGGGTGAAGCATGCGGGGATGTGGTGGGGGGGTGAAAGATGAGGTGGGGTGAAGGAGGAGGGGATGGGGGGGGTAAAGGATGAGGAGGATGAAGGCTGAGGCGGGGGGAAGGATGCGAGGCGGATGCTTGGTGTGGGAGCAGGAGGGTATCTCTGCGGCCACCTTCCTCTCCCCCCCAAAACTGAAAAATTAAATTAAAAAAAAAAAAAAAAAAAAAAAAAAAAAAAGGGCAAAACCTCCAACCATCCCCCTCTGCGGGAGGAAACCACGCCTCCGGGGAGGAAAGTTTATTTGAATGCAACAAATAAAAAAGCAGGGGGTGAGGGAGGAGGAAAAAGCCAAAAAAAAAAAAAAAAAAAAAAAAGGGAGAGAGAAAACAAAGCGGGAGGGATGAAGCCCGCTGGCAGCCCGGAGGAGGAGCGGGGCCGGGCGGTGCCTGCGGCGGGGCCGGGGCCGGGGCGCGGCGGGGCCGGGGCCGGGGGGCGGGCGGAGGCGGCGGCGGGGGGGGGCAGACAATGGCGGAGGGGGGCAGCGGCCGGGGGGTAGCGGCGGGTCGGTGGCTCCTGCCCGCCTCCTCCCCGCCTTCCTCCTCCTCCTCCTCCTCCTCCTCCTTCTTCTTCTTCCCGGGTAGGAAAGTTTCAGCGTCGAGCGCGGAGCAACAACCGGGCCGGGCTTTTGGCAGCCTGGCCCCGTCGGTACGGCAGCTTTCGCTTCGTTTTACCGAGCCGGAGCCAACGGGCCCGGTTCATGCCGGGGCTCCACCACCGTCCCCGGCTCCACCGCCGCCACCGCCGCCGTCGTCGTCGCCGCCGGGCCCGGGGTTAAACGCGGAACCGCCGCGTTGGCCCAGCGTCCCGGCGATGCGGAAACTCTTCGGGGAAAGCTGCCGGCAACCTCCGGGGGGAACCGGCAGTGGGAACGGGAACGGGACCGCCGTCGGGAACGGGAGCGGTCGGGGAGCTCCCCCGCCGCCTCCACCCCGCAGCCGCGTCCCGCACCCGGCTCTCCGTTCTCCCCGCGGAGCTCCGCCGGAGCCCGGCCCGCATTCCTGGCATAACTCGACTCGACCGCAACCACCCTCCTCCTCCCCATCACCCCGCTCCAACGGGGAGGATGAAGCCGCGGCATCCCCTTCTCCCCGTGCTTCGTCAGGCAGCGAAGGCGAAGGGCAAAGTGGTGCCCACCGTCACCGCGCCGCCCGGAAGAAGAAGAAGGAGAGCGGTGGTTGGGAGAGCCCGGCGGAGGGTGGCGACGCCGAGGCCGAAGGCTGTGGGAGGGTGGGCCCCCGTCACCCCTTACCCGTGGTGGCCCGCGTCTCCAAAGTGAACATCCTGCCCTTCGGCAGCCCCGGCGGGTCGCGGAGCAGCAGTCGTTACTCCAGCACGGAGACGCTGAAGGAAGAGGAACAGTTTGGGATCTGTTGGCCCAACCAAGGACGGACTCCCCAGGCGGGTTACGGCGTCTATCGGTCACCCAGTTTCGGGACGAGCGATGGCCTGGCGTGGGGACAGCCGGCAGTCCGCGTCCGTCCCAAGCTGCCACAGGGCACGGCCAAGGTGAAACAGGACTTTGGGAGTGAGATCCTGCACCAGCCGGGGCTGGAAGGGGAGCGGGCCAAGCACCGCAAGTCCTTGTCCAACCCCGACATCGCCACTGAGACCCTGACGCTCCTCAGCTTCCTCAAATCAGACCTCTCGGAGCTGAAGGTGAAGAAGAAAGGGGTGAGGATTGGCCTTGACGGAGGCTCCGATGGCTGCTCCGGTGTTGCCAACCCTTCCCTAGGCGGTCGCGGTGCTGCTCAGCCCCCCACCCGCTGGGCGCCGGGCGAGCGGCCGACACTCAAGGACCTGACAGCCACTTTGCGTCGCGCCAAGTCCTTCACCTGCTCTGAAAAATCAGGGACGCGGCGGCTTTTCCTACAGAGCACCATGAAGCAGAGTTCCTCTGAGCTCCTCCTGGCCACCACCGACAGCCAGGACCGGGTGGCTTCGGATGGGGGACAGCGGGGGGACGAGGATGCTCTCCCCATGGTCATCCAGGACCAGTACATCCAAGAGGCAAGGCAGGTCTTTGAGAAAATCAGCAGGATGGGTTCCCAGCAGGATTACGGCTTCACGGCCGAGCAGAAGGACAGTGGAGGTGTGGAGGGCGCCGAGGTGGTGGCACGGACAGGGACGACGGACGTGACCCTTCGGGGACGGGCGGAGAGCACGCGGTGTTTGAAGGAAGTGGAGTCGGAGGAGAACCTCACTCGCAGGAAATCCGTGGAGGAGCTGTCGGGTCACGAGTCGAGCGTGACAGATGAGGGCATCGTCACGGAGCTGGAGCCCATGGCGATGCCCTTCCAAGACCTGCATGAAGCCGTGGACTCCTGGACGCTGCCCAGCACTGGGGTGGCAGCCAGTGATGCCGAAATGCCACTGCCCGCTCACCCAGCAGCGGCGGTTGAAGACCTTCCAGCTGGCAAATCCGAGACGCCGAGCACCCCCGGCAGCTTGCGGCGCCGCCGTAAATTCCCCTCGGCGGGTGCCAATGGGCTGGAGGGTAGCAGTGAGGGTGGCACCGAGCCCTACCGCTCCCTGAGTGACCCCATGCCCCACCGGAGATGCTCGGTGGCGGAGGAGGCGAAGAATTTCTCCGTCGACAGCAACCTCCTGGGCTCACTGAGCGCCAAGGCAGGCATCCCCCAACCCGCCGCCATCGCGGGCAGCGCGGGCAGCGCAGGCAGCGACCTGTCACTCAGCAGCGACGGGCCGCGGGACTACAGCAGCCTCATCCGAACCATCGTCAGCCAGCCCGGTGCCATGGCCAAGCTCGTTGATGAGAAGGGCAACGGCAAGACCATCAAGAAGAAGTCGTTGAGCGACCCCAGTCGCCGCAGTGAGCTGCCGGCCGGTGCCTTCGAAGGTCCCGGCGAGGCCATCAGCGAGCTGGAGCCCAGCATCCCACCGTCCAGCAGCGAGCCCATCCTCTCGGCGCAACCAGCAGCGCCGGGCACCAGCCGCGGTTATGGCTTTGACCCCAAGTTGGCTGATGTGTTGTCCCCTCGCATCGCCCGGCGCAGCTCCAAGAAGCGCTCCAACCGCGCAGCTCACCAGGAAAACCAACCGCCGCCGGCACCTGCCGTCCTCGCCAAGAGCCGCCCGGCCACCAAGCACATCCGTCACACCAGCGAGCCTGCCACCTTCATCCCCATCACCGTCCCCGAGCCGCTTGTCCCCTCCGGCCACCACAGCCACCTCCCCATGCCGGCTGCCGGCCGCTCACCCGGCCAATCCTTCCCGATCCTCCAACCTCCTTCTCTGGAGGATGTCACCAAGCGGTACATGCTGGCCCTCAACTCAGGTGATGCGTCCCCCGGTCCCGGGGATGGACCCCGCTCTCCACCCACTGCCCCACCGCCCCGGCTGCCCCGATGCCCACGGCCACCCGACGAACACGGTCCCCGGACCAAGCCGCAGGTGGTAAGTGCGCATCCATCCTCCAAACACCTTCATTTCAC